CATCCCACCCATCTCAAACACCTCCAAAACACTGTTTCCTTCTGAGAAACACCGGAAAGCACAACACGGTTTTATTGAGAGGGGAGAGGAGGAATAAGGTATCTTTAAAAGGACAACAGAACTGCCCTAACCGGTTTAGCTCAGTGGATAGAGCATCAGCCTGAGGACTGAAGGGTCCCAGGTTCGATTCCAGCCAAGGACATGTACCTTGGTTGCAGGCACATCCCCAGTAGGAGGTGTGCAAGAGGCAGCTGATCGATGTTTCTCTCTCATCGATGTTTCTAACTATCCCTCTCTCTTCCTCTCTGTAAGAAATCAATTATATATATATATAAAAGGACAACAGAACTGAAGCTGAGGTCCCTTGTCTGAGCCCCTGATTACACCAAGGAGGACCCTCAGGGTCCAGGAAGTGACTGCTCCCCGAGGTCCACCCGGGGAAGCTGAGCCCACACCCCAGGTCTCCAAGATTCTTGTCCCTGGGCTTCTTCCTCCACACCACGCAGGTCTCCCTCTGCAAAAGCACCACCGTGATCTCCTCTGGCCCCCGGGGTGGCCTTGGGGCAACAGACTAAGGAGGGGATGGGCTGGCTTTCCCAGGACACTCACCCCCCTAGACCTAAGGCCTGGAGAAAGGCCTGAGGGCAGAGCCCACACAGGGTGGTCCCATCAGGCCCCTCGGAGATTAAGAGCCTCCCACCCACACCTTAGAGCCAAAATGGCCCACGCGGGGGAGTGGGGACGCGGTCCTGGAGCAGCCACACAAAGCAGACAAGGACTGAGCGTTTCAGCTCTGGAGCCTGCCCCGGTGGCAGTGGGGGCGGGGGCTCTCCTGCCCGCTGGCTGGATCGGTGCCTAGAAAAGATTCCTGTCTCAGCTGACAGGCAGCCTTGACACCCAGCCAATGCCCCCTGCGAAGCCGGAGCCGGAGCCGGGCTCCAGGCTGGAGGGCACGCCTGAGTGCGGCAGTGGGGGCCGGGCTGCCACCAGATGTGAGCACTCGGAAGTCGGCGGTTCTTCATACTTTGCGGTGCTTTCCACATTCCTACAAAGGGCATGGTTAACCTCCTACGTTCAAAATCCCCTCCACGTGGGCCGTGTCCTCCCCCGGGCTCATCTCTTCTGTGCCTGATACATCGGCCTTGACTTTCTAGTGTAGGGACCGACTGGTTCAGTCATTTTCAAAGATTTCCTCTTCATCATTTTTTTTTTTTGCTTATTTGATAACAACATTTCCCCAACCATTAAGTTCTCAGAGGCCGGAGTGTGAAAACCATGAGTTGATACTTTTTCTAGGACAATTACCATGTTCTAATACATTCTGTTTGCTTATTAGAAATTCCTGCATCATGGTCTTTTAAAAAATTCATCAAAGTAAACTCTCCTTTTCACAACGGCTTTCACCTTGATGGTCTGGAAAAGTCTCACTCCCTGGATATGAAATTGCCATTAGTTGGCCCATTTTTGCCTACAGAGCACTTTCACAGGGTTCCTGACCGAGTAGCTAACAATCATCTTAATAACAAAGATTCAAATCATTCCTACTTTGTGCGGGCACTAATCTAAGTCTGTTTTCAATATTAAATCATGTGATTGCCACAGCCACGTGAGGTAGATGCTATCCATTATCATGTTCATTTTGCAGAGGAGGAAACTGAGGCCCCGAAATATATGAGGTCACATGACTGAGAAGGCCCACTCCAAGCAGAGGGCCTGTGCCCCTGGCATCCATGGCCCCCTGCACTACCTGGGCATCAGGAGATGTTACTGTCCACAGAGGGCCTCACAGGGCCCTGGCCACACCTCAGGCATCAGCCCAGCCTCGTGCTGGTCCAGGGGCTCCAGCTCCCACAACCCAATGCCCGCCATCCCCTGCCAATGCGCCCAACCTTTAACAACCTACACAGGAGAGTAGGACAGAGAGGCATTTCAATGGGGAAAAGTCTTTACAGCCACACACTGACCGACAGGGTGGGAAGGGAACCTCAAATCAGGGAGCCGGAAGGACGCATCTGCATTTGGGGTGAGGGGTGTCAGCGATGAGGCCGAGGGGCCAGGAGGAAGGAGGAGAAGGGTCCACACTGACCCACCCCTCAGGAGCCGGGCTAAGTGGCCTGACTCTAATGCTAGTGAGCCCCAGGCCCCCGACCCAGAGGCCTGTCCCCCAGGAAGCAAGACTGTAGAAGGGCCTCTGGCACAGCCTCGCAGACCATCTTCCCAGCAGGCGCCGGCTGCCCCTAAAAAGCGACCCCTCAGATACTGGGAGGAAGCGCCTGAGGGTACTCTTCTGACTCACCAGCCAGAGGTGCCTATGGCTTTGGGAAGTTGGCCTTGGGAACTTTCTCCTGAATGAGCAAGTCTTTGGGATATCTGCTGACTTTCAGCACAAGACTGACCAACAGTGGCTTAGCCAAGCGTCCGAGTGTGAGAGTGTCTGCATGGAGCACACGCGTGTCTGGGTGTGTCGCCTTTCTTCCTACACTGTGAGCTGTAGAGGCCGAGACCACGGCTGGACCTCCCCTTGCATCCCTGTGGCACAGACCAGAGCAGGCACCGAGCACAGCGAGCGCAGCCGTCTCCAGCAGCGCCCACGACCCAGCCAGCACGCAGGCCTCAACGGAGAGGCTCTGCACTCCGACCGGGGAGCAGGCGGCTCGCTGGACACCATGTGCGCGGCAGCCCTCCCTCCCTCGCCGCTCTGCCAGAGTCTGGGGGGCCAGTGCCCAGCCCCCTACCTGCCGCAGGGCCGCCATCTCCTCGCTGGCCGCCTTCTTCTCCGACGTGCTGCTTTTGAGCTTGGACTCGGCCAGCTCCACTTCGGTCTGCAGCTTGTCCAGCTCGGAGATGACCTGGTCGCGCTCGCTCATAATGAGCTTGTACTCGCTGTACACAGCGTCCCGCTCCTCCTTGTACTTCTCCGACTCCTTGGCGGTCTTCGCCTGCGTGGTCCTCAGCTCCGTCAGCTCCGACTGCAGCAGCTCCATCTCCCACTGCAGGTCCTTGTTCTGGGCCGTGGCCTTGTTCAGCTCATGGTGGATCGCCTCGAACCTGGGGAGGAAGGCAGCCAGGACATGGGGGGCAGGGGGTGGAGACCTGCCCGGTCAGCTCTGCTGTGCCGGACAGTCAAGCATGAAGTTTCAAGTGAGGTCACTCTCCGCACCCCCAGGAGGGAAGTCACGGAGACCAGTGCCCGGGACCGGGAATTTTTCTCAGCCTTTACAAATATCAACAGTTGAACTGAGGACTTCATGCCCCAGCTCTACTAGAAACAGCAGCAGATGTCTGCCATGGTCCAGCTCCATGACTGTTTTTTTAATGCTGGAATCACAGCATATGAGAGATAGGTGGCCTCATCAGTCATTTAATCCACCTCACTTTACAAATACAGAAAGTAAAGAGATGTAGTGGCTGGCCCAAAGGCACCAGGCTAGTGTGAGAGCACAGCTCAGCCCTTCCAAGCCAGGAGGTACCTTCCACGCAGGCAACCCTGCAAGTTAAGAGCCTGCAGATCCAGAGTAGCATTTCCAAAAGTGTGTTCCTTAGAACACCCATCCTGCATGGCGCTCCATTAAAAAGAAGAAGAAGAAAAAAAGTATGTTCTTGGATGATTTATGTTCGGGAAACACTGCATTCTGTCCAGTGCTCAGTACCCGCGTGAACGCTCTGAGCAGTCCCGCGTTGCAGACACCTGAGCCTGTGTGCAACCTGGCAATTCCAAAACCTTTTCCTATCCAGAGAACACTTTTCCTAAGAGAGCGGTGAGCGCTCCGGGAACTGGGACTCTGCAGAAATGTACTTCACAGATACTGAGAGCAGGGCTCACTTCCCTATGGATTAGAGACCTTAATAAAAAAAGAAAGACATCCTGGAAGAAATGATGCCTAGGAAAACTAGCTTTGCAATTTGGTAGGTAAGTGACTGACAGAAGGGAGAGGCTTGTGGGAGCCCTAGGAAACGGGGCGGTCAGAACACCCCAAAGTTGTTCAAGAGAGGAAGAACTTCTCCCAGAACACACTGAGTGTCAAGAAAACGTTTCCCGGAAATGAGCACTTTTTGCTTGAAAAAGCACAATGGCTGTGCTGCTTTCACTCTCGGGAAGCCTCTGGGAGCCGCACAGATAACCACACGCCCCAGAGGACAGTGCCCCCGAGCACAGAAGGTGCCGTTCTCCACCCCCCGGGCCTCCTCCTACCTCCATTCTCCGCACTCGGGGCCTCGCTCCTACCTCCGCAGGGAGAGGGCGCACTGGTGCTGCAGCTGGATGGCCGTGTCCCTCTGCTGGGTCAGCATGTCCGTCTGCTTCAGCAGGCGCTGGTTCTCCTCCTCCAGCTGCTCCAGGCGGCTCAGGTCCGAGTTGTGGACGGCAACCTTCTCGCTGTACCTCTTCCGCAGGGCGTCGTAGTCCTTCTTGACCACCTCCAGCTTGTCCATGGCCGTGTCGTACAGCTTGCTGAGGATTTCCGACGACCCGTTGTGCTTCAACACCTGGGGCCAGAGAGGCACACTCATCACGGGGCTGGGGGCAGGAGGAAGGGCAGGCTGATAGGAGGAAGATTTCAGACTGCAATGCGGGACTTTGCAGAGCCTTCACTCCGGTACTGAGCACTCTCACCTCCCGGTGCTGGGGGTAGAACTGCTGACCAGGGAGGAGGCCCCAGGCGTCTCAGGTGACTCCACAGCCCTGCAGTCACACTGGGTGACTCATTCGTTCCTACGCATTTGGTAAATGGTGTGCTGAAGGGAGCTACCCGGAGGCCTAACTTCTCTCCTTAGAGAGGCTGCTGGCAGGTCCACCCGTGGCTGGTGCAGGGAACCTGGGTGGCAGAGCTCCCTACACTGATACAGAACTTCCCCCAAGTGACAAGGGGGACTCCCCATGCCTGGAGCAGGTGAACAGTGTGGCTTAGGCTGAGCACCTGCTTTCTCTGGGAGTCTGAAGTCTCAGCACAGGCGAGGCAGCGGTGCCTCCGGGGCCAGCCCCCAGGAAAAACCCTGGGCTGGGAGCGGCTCGGGGCTTCCCTAACACCACTCCACACGCGCTGTCCCGACTCGGCCGGGGCCCTGAGCATGTCCTGGGACCTGCACTGGTTTCCTCTGGACTTCGCCCCACGCACCTCTGTCTTTGCTGAGTTTGTGTTGTGTCCTTCCACTGAAATAAACATTAGCTGTGAGTAGGATTATATGCTGAGTCCTCCTAGACCAGCTGTGGGCAGACTACGGCCCGGGGGCCGGATCCGGCCCATTTGAAATGAATAAAATTAAAAAAAAAAAGACCGTACCCTTTTATGTAATGATGTTTACTTTGAATTTATATTAGTTCACACAAACAC